GAGGCGCCTGCCTCGTTTGCATGTCGGTTCACCCATGAGTTATGTTTTCACCTGATGTCCGGTTGCACGTTTGTGTCTTCCCTCTCGTGTGTCTTGTCATGTGCACAGGCCTCCTGCACACTGCTGATGAAGCTCAGCACACGGGACAGGCCGCTATGCGAATGCTTCGGTTGCGCATGGTGGTGGACGGTCGTGCCGTGCAACTGTGTCTTCGGCCTGTGGGTGTCTCGGTAAGGCTCTTCGACGATATCGGCTTCTGGTAGAGATGCGAACGGCCAGAACCATCTCCTCCATCTCCTTCGCCGCCGCCCTCTCCGTCTGTGCGGCTCAATCGTCACCAGTCGACACAAGACTCCCCGTCGATAATCCAGAAAAAACCTCTCAAGCAGCCACCTGAGCGCACGAATGAAGGCATGTGTCTGTCGCGGGTGTGGAGGGGTGGGTGGGAATCATCTGAGCTCACCTCATGACGTCCCTCCGATCGTGCGAGGCGATCTCATAGACCCCGCCCATCGCTGTCGCCTCCACCAAACTCTCAGGCGAGCCCAAAGACGACGAGGGACTCGCAGACAGCGGCGCCGGAGAATCAGATGGGGCAACATCATCGTCTTCCGGCTCATGGGGCGCGTCGGCGGGGAGGAAGGAGCGGAACAGCTCACTCTTGACCCTCACTGTCTCATATGGCGTCTCGCTCAACCCACATTTAGCCCCATTCTGATGGTGGCTGAATGGTGTTGGTGTCACCGAGCCTTCTTGGGCCACCGGCGCCGACTCCTGCCGGACAATCCAGGACGTGGCGGCGTCTTGGTTTGCAAGTGTGGCGGCGGCCACGGGCGATGCGGGGATGGGGTTGGGACGCCTCTCCTCCGCTATAGACGAACAACCACGGGACAGCATCACACGTGCGTTTCAAGATCACAACAGACCAGATGCGCGCTCAAGACGCCCCCACACAAGCTTCCGAAAGCCCCTCGCTATGGAAGCTGAGCACCTTGATGCCACAACCGACGAGCGGATTGAGCCGTTCGGCATTCAGCACGAGCCACACCTCATGAACAATGACCACGTCAATGACCAGCAGCAGCAGCAGCCATCGCAGCATCATCCACTGACACATCCCGAGCCATCCCAGCAGCAGCCACAGCATCAGCATCATCAACATCAACAGCACCACAACCAGCTGTCCCCCTCCCTCCCCCCCGCCGGCCTTCCTGTCCTCCCCTCGTCCACCGATGGCCGAGCACAGCCAGCCGAGGCACTCACCGAGGCCGTCCAGCAGCAGGTGGAGCAACAAGAGCAGCAGCAACAGCTAGAGGACGCCACGGGCAGCAGCGGCCGGCCAAAACGCAAGCGCATCCCGAAGCAGCAGGACCTCCTGGGCATGGTGCCCGCCGAATGGGAGATGGGGCAGCCGAGGCCGAAAGCACGCAAGAAGAAGAAGGCCAAGGAGGGGGGAAGGGGTGGGGATGAAGGAGGCGGTGCGCGCGGTGCTGTGGAGCCGGGGAGCCGTCCGCCGGCTATCGAGACGCCCTTGCTGCTGACTGGCGACATGCGTGAGAGGCGTGAGTGGGTGACGCCGAATGTGGAGGGGAAGCTGCGGGTGGTGACCGAGAAGGGGGCGCAGATGCTCAACCTACTCAGGGGGCTGTTCGAAGGTATGCATGTACGCTGCTGAGTGACGGACACAACCGCTGTGCAGTCATTGCGTCCTTGCTTGCTCCCTCTGTGTGTGCGTGTGCGTGTGTGTGTGTGTGTGTGTGTGATTGGTTATGCAGCCTTGCCATCGGCCGATCCCCAGTCCACTCTGCCGCTGCCGCCCGCCGGCCTTGACAAGCCGAGGAAGCCGTCCATCGAGGGACTGCTGGACGTAGGCAAACCCCACACCCACACAGACACTCGCAATAAGTACGGGTGTGTTGTATGGTTGTGGTCATGTTGTGCGTTGTGTGTTGTGTGTGCAGGTGGCCAACAGCGGCCCTCAGTGGAGAGGCATGCCTTTGCAGTGGCTACCCCGACGGAGAGGCTGCAAGCGGCTCTGGTCCCTCCCCAAGCGGCTCTACACCTCTCTCGGCGCATACGAGACCAAGACTATCCGCAGATCTGTCATCGACGGGCGGATTCTGGACGACAGGAGCGACGCCCCCCCTCTGCTGGTGCCGGCGCGTCAGCCGTCCTCTGAGCTGACGTATGAGTGGACCTGGGGGGAGGAGCTGCTGATGAAGGGCATCGGACAGATGAGGCGGTATCTGCGGCAACAATCTGGCGATTTCGGTGGTGCTTCTGGCGGTGGTGCTGGAGGCGGCGTGGTCAAGCGTGAGGACAGCCCTAACAGTGGTGGTGGTGGTGATGACACGGGCATCGGGGCGATGGCTGATTTCGGAGCGGGTGGAGTGGGAGGGGGAGCCGACTACTACTTAGACCTCGAGCAAAGGCCGCCCAGACTCGGTGAGGGCGGATGACACACACACGCGACGACAGACAGACGCACGAGACGAATGCATCACTTCAGTCAGGTGCATCTGTGTAGATGTCTTTCCATTAGGTCGCGGCTTCCAATTGGATGTGCCGGCCCCTCTCAGCCCTCCCGTGCGCCCCAACATCCGCCACAAGGCCACACAGACTCCCTCAGACACCCACCCAGACGCCGACCCCTCTGTGACCGAGGAGCCCACTCACCAGGAGTCCCGTGTGGTCATCCTGGGCGGCATGCTCTACCGGCAATTCTGTCTGGGCGCCAACAAGACCTTCAAAGAGACGGGCACACACGCCGACGGGGGGATGATCGATGAGACGGTGGCGAGAGAGGGAAGGCCGATATGCCAGCGGCCATCATCCCAGCAGCAGGGAGAGAGCCCTCCCCAGCAGCCGGCAGCAGCAGCAGCAGCAGCATCGTCAGGGGCAGGAGAGTTGGGCGTGCCGCCACCGACCCAGTATGATGGTGAGATTACGACGAGGCCGCTGCCCGATTCGGTGCAGGAGGTGACGTGGTCGCTGCTCGACTACATGGGGGAGAGAATAGGACCTTCCAGACAGGGGTCCGACCTGCTCGCCAAATTCCTCGCTGACGGTATGTCAGTCAGAATGCACGTGACCAGCCACGCCACGCCCTTCTCTCACAACACATCCTCTCTCTCCCCCATGCAGATTGTGTAGAGGCATGCAAGGCGGGGCTCTTTCTGGGCGCCCTCGGCCGCCCCTCACCGGGCTCGCAGCCGGGTGCCAAGCCCCGCAGCTCATTCCCCTTCCCCCCAATGTCGGCAGCTCGCAGCGGCGGCTCGCCGTTTTCCTTGGCGGGCCTGGTGGCTGGAGGAGGACCGGGAGGGCCGCTGATGCAGCAGCAGATGCATCAGGAGTCGCCTGGTGGTGGTCGTGGGGGTGCAAGTGGTTGGGGGAGAGGGGGCAACAGCACACGGGGGAGGGGGCGGGGCAAGAGAGGCGGGTGAGACCGTGTCTCTGCCTTTGCCTTTTTATTCCTTTGCGGTGGGTCAGGTCATTCAGTCGTCCGCTCATGGCCTGATCTAGCTAGTGTGGAGGGGGGGAAGCGACGAAACCAGCACAACGCACACATACACACATACACACACATGAGAGAGAGAGAGAGAGAGAGAGAAGGTGGGAGGTTTGCCCGTTTATGTGGATACATCGCTGTGTGCCTGTGCCTGAGTGTCCAGCTGGGTTTCCCCCGTACGCAGTCTGGGCGTGACGCCGTTTGCTGTTCACCGAGATGTGCCAGCAGACAGCGTCGCCTCTGGGGGTCGCAAGGAGGGACACACAGCAAGAACACTCCAGCCGGATCTCGCCTTTCACCCACAGTGGTTGATGATTGTACAGGCCAACCGGACTGGCCGGCCGCCCGTGTGTGTGCTAATGGAGGTGTTGGTTGAATCAGCTACATAGATGTTCGCTTCCCTCTGTCAAATCTCTCTTCTCTCTCACCCACGTCCCCTTTCCCCCACACCATGCACACGGCCAGTGGACACACAGCAACCAACCATCCATTCGGAGTGCTGCTGCGCCGCAAGTGATGGTTTGACCGATCGGATTCGAGGAATGCTGGCCGATTGGCGGCTGACCAGGTCCTGCGTTTGCAACGCATCAGCCGAAATTGACTGTCCTGTACCGAGGTGGTCAGCCGAATCGACGCGAGCAGTGGTGACGATGCGCCTCTCGTGTGAGTCCCTCGCCCTTCTCGTTGCCGCTGCCTCATTCGGTAAGTCGGGGGCAGACGGGTTGTGTTGGTCGGTTAACGTCACTCATGCGGCCGGTCCTCTGTCTGTCCGTCTACGTGTCTACCCTCCCTCAGCCACTCACACCCCAGCCCAACACATACATGCCATCAGCCAGCTGCATTTTGCAACCGGCAGGAGGGGCACACACACACACACACCAAAATCCATCCATCAATGTCACGTGCAGCAGTTCGACAGCCCCCCACCCCTGCCGCCCTTGTCCTTTGCCGCTGCTGTCGTGGTGTCTCTCTCCTTCTCTCGGCTGACCCTCTCGGCCATTGCCTTGTCATTCCCACGTTGCATCGCCAGAGGGGGAGGGGGGGACGGCCGCCGCATTAGCATGGCGGTGGGTGACGGTGCCCGTGGCATTATGGGCGAGAGCAGGGCGGGCATCGATGCGTGTCTCGGCGACTGCTGCAGCGGCAGGGGGGCCGGCCCTTGCTGCTGCTTGGCCATCAGACTGTCCACACGCAGAGAGAGAGAGAGAGAGAGAGGGGGAGAGAGGGGGGGG